CAATATGTCATATTCATCAACATTATGTACTTTATGGCATTCATCGGTTGGCTTAACATTATCTGCATCAGTATGATCTATGGCAAAAATTTTGTTGTGCAATTTTAGTGGTCCCAACAGGAGTTGATGGCGATGTAAGTAAAGGTTCATTGAACAACATGTTTTCAGTGGTGCTTTCAGTAGGATGTGGTATTGGTAGTGGTAGTTGGAGGGTGGGTACAACATTAAATTTGCAAGACATATTCATGTATATACAATAACTACAACATTCAATAACTTTAAAGTAATAGGTAAATTTACAATGTATGTGGTAAAAATATAAATTTTTAATGACAAAATTAGTAAATACAAAGATTTGTTTCGATGCATATATAAGAATATGTGTCGATACATTTTCCAAAAGTATCGACCCAAAAATCATCAAAACAAATAATTATAATGTAATATTTAAATTAACAATGTAACCAGTATACATCTACCGGTTAATTATAAAACATGTCAACATAAAGTATCGACACTTTTTAAGTTTGTGTCGATACTTTTTTCCAAAATAAAGCACAAACAGGTTCACACATAAAGTGTCGATACATTTAAAATTATATCGATCTCAAAAATATCGAAACGAAAATTACAATGTTATAGGTAAATTTACAATATATCCGGTATAAATATACCGATTTTATGAGAAAATAGATCTAAATAATGTATCGACACTTTTATAGTTTGTGTCGATACATTTAAATTTGCAATGCAATAGGTAAATTTGCAATGTAACCTGTTTAAATTTACCGGTTTTATGAGAAAATATGTCAAAATAAAGTATCGACACTTGTGTATTTTGTGTCGATACATTTTGTCCATAATGAATGCCCAACGAGGTGCAAGAATAACGTGTCGATACATTTAAAATTGTATCGATCCCAAAAACATTGAAACGAAAATTACAATGTTATAGGTAAATTTACAATATGCCCGGTATAAATATACTGGTTTTATGAGAAAATAGGTCTAAATAATATATCGACACCTTTATAGTTTGTGTCGATACATTTAAATTTGTAATGTAATAGGTAAATTTGCAATGTAACCAGTTTAAATTTACCGGTTTTGTGAGAAAATAGGTCAGAATAAAGTATCGACACTTGTGTAATTTGTGTCGATACATTTTGTCCATAATGAATGCCCAACGAGGTGCAAGAATAATGTGTCGATACATTTAAAATTGTATCGATCCATCGAAACGAAAATTACAATGTTATAGGTAAATTTACAATGTACCCGGTATAAATATATCAGTTTTATGAGAAAATATGTATAAATAATATATAAACACCTTTATAGTTTGTGTCTATACATTTAAATTTGTAATGCAATAGGTAAATTTGTAATGTAACCGGTTTAAATTTACTGGTTTTATGAGAAAATATGTCAGAATAAAGTATCGACACTTGTGTAATTTGTGTCGATACATTTTGTCCATAATGAATACACAACGAGGTGCAAGAATAACGTGTCGATACATTTAAAATTATATCGATCCCAAAAACATCGAAACGAAAATTACAATGTTATAGGTAAATTTACATTGTACCCGGTATAAATATACCAGTTTTATGAGAAAATAGGTCTAGATAATGTATCGATACCTTTATAGTTTGTGTCGATACTTTTTTCCAGAATGAATTAGGAATGTTCAACGAGGTGCAAGCATAAAGTGTCGATACATTTAAAATTGTATCGATCCAAAAATCAACGAAACCAATAATTATAATGTAATAGGTAAATTTGTAATGCTACCGGTATAAATATACCAGTTAAATGCCTATTTTATTATATAAGCGCTACCTATTACATTATATAAGCGCTACCTAATATGTTATTGTACTTGATAATATTTCCGATTAAATGATATAACATAATCGATCTAAATTTTAACCGATCACTTCTTTAATCTATCACACTATTTTTTAACCGTTTTTTAAGCGTCCATGCCTCCATAAATATGGAAGCAAGTTGATCTGATTTAGTACCGTACGACTCAGGCTCATCCAATTAAATTTTGTAAAATTTTCAACTTGCTGGCAGGCTACGGTCGTATATTCAATAGTAACTAAGTTAATTGCTTTATTATATTATGCATGTCCCCACAGATAAAGCAAGAGAAATTTATTGGGGGTTTGATCAAAAGAACATACAAACATTGTGTGGTGGACCGGTGGTGCAGGCAAGCGATCATCTGGCACACGCGGATTCTGGCGTTGTCTATAAATCTCATATACCACCCTCCATTTCCTTTAATACTTGTTGCAGACATTATTTTCTGAATTTAAAATTATAGTATCACAATTGCTTATTATTAATATGATATTATTAATTCGGCTTAATATAAAAATAAGTGTCTAAATTATACTATAAATTAATTTTTGGTGCCTAAAGATATTTCGTTGAAAATAGGTGTCTAATGTTTTCTCCGTTACAATTTTGGTGTCCAGGTCGTAACCATATTGAACGCGTTATGTTATGGTAATTTTGAATTTAAAAAAACTCAAAATTATATTTTAAAAGAACCTAAAATTTTTGAAAATCTAAAAAAAACTAAATCTAATCCATATGCCCATGTCGGCCGCCGTACTTGTCGTCGTTATCGTCGACCGAACCTTCACCCGGTCGCGTCTCCATCAGATGATCATTTTCCCAACAAAGAGCCATTGTTGAATTAAGATTTTAATATGACAATAATTTTTAAAATTGATTTTGGACTTGATTGCTAGAAATCAAACTTGATTTATAGAATGTTGGAAAATATGCATATGACAAATTAGGTGACAAAATATAAACCATAAACAATGACGGTACCAATCAAAGAATTTCACCACCGCAAGCAATGTTTTTTTATGGCGAATAGTTGGCAGCATGGAAATTAAACATGAAAGTTGAAAAGTCAAAGGTGGCAAAACAATTACATGTGATATTTACATGTGGCAGCACTTATCTAAAACACATTGTTTTGAAAATCGGATTAGATTGGCCGGTTCAACTGGGAATCGTTGTCTAGTTCGATTCAATTTATATTGGTTGAACCGTTATTAGTGAACCGGTCGGAACCGTTGAACCGTTCGAATCGGACCGGCTAAAAACCGAAAAAAACCCGCCAATTTTATTTTATTTAAAAAAAATTAAACCAAATGATATCGTTTGTTAAACGAGCCAAGTTGAACTCTAGTATTGCTGAGCTCGACTCGAACTTGAAAACTTTAAAAGTAAGCTCAACTCGACTCAAACTCACGAGCTAAAAATTATCAAGTTCAACTCGAACTCGAAATGTAATATTGAAACTTGAACTCGAAAAGGCTTGAACTAAAAAAATTTAGAAGCTCGATTGAAGCCTAAAATTCGAGCTTGATTGAAGTGAAAGAATAGTTCACTCAATGCTCACCAAAATGCTCCATGATTTTGAATGTCAAATTACCTCTATTATTTATAGAAATTAGTTGGGATGCTCTTCTATGTTTCTTAGCCATGTGGGATTGTTTTTAAAAAAAAAATTAAACCAAACAATATCATTTTGTTATAATTTTTTAGCCGAATATTTATTTTTTAATTATAGTTATATAATTATATTTATTATTTAATATGTTTTACCTTAAATATTATGTTGTAGTTAATTTAAATAATTTTGTTTCACTTGATTTTATGATTTTTAACTTATATATGTTATGATTTGCTTTGAATATGACTTGTGATATAAAAAATTATTTTTTATTAAATATTTTTGGTATTTTTATTTTTTTTAAATAATTATGACGTCGTCCGGTTCTTCCGACCGATCGGACCGGTTCAACCGATTGAACCAGTGAACCGGTAACATGGCCAGTTCGCTAACCGGTCCGGTTCTGAAAACTATGCTAAAACAAAGCAAGCTAATTAATGGAGAAGATATAAATTGAAGGTCAAAACATCCTAAGGTGATCAAGAAACATATTAAATCAATCTACCATCATCAAAATTTTGCTTTGTGCTTAATTTGTCAACTTCTTTGTTGTAATCACACTCCTGAGTTTTATTGTTTATTTTGCTCAACTGTGATTTGGGTGAGTGCTTAATTGTTGCAAACTAATTTACCTTTATGAGGTTTTTTTTTGTTTGCTAAATTTGTATTTACTCTTTGGGAGAGTGTGTATTCAAGGTTTTGGGTATAAACTTTGAAGTGTTTGTAGGTTACACCTTGTCCTTAAAGGTAAGCAAATCTAGTGGATTTGAGAAATTCTTAGTGTGAAGCTAAGGTAGTAGATGTAGACTTTGGTTTAGTAAGTCGAACAACTCTAAATCATTGTGTACAAAATTTTATTTTCCGATTACTTTCACCAAAATCCTTAAAAGGCCAATTCACTCCCCCTCTTGGCTTTATTCGGTTGATCGATAAAGCTAATAGCCACCACAATCGAAACCGACAGGAGTTTAATCGAGTTCTTCGTTTCGTCGAATTTATCATTGATTTCACGTTGGGGTGTTTTTTTGGGTTGTTGTTCGGGGTAAATGACCTTCGGGTGGAAGCGCGTTCGGGGGTAGGCTCGGCCAACGGGAACGACGACAAAAGCGGCAGCCTACATGGCTATAAGACTGAAATTAGGTTTGAGCTTTTTTAAATGAAAATATTTTTTAAAATTTATCAGAACGTGATAGGTGTCACTTAACAAAGTTTTTTTTTACGACGGTTAACGTCCGGACACCTAAAATGATAATGGAGAAAACGTTAGATACATATTTTTAACGAAAAATTCTTTAAGCACCAAAAAATCAAATTGGGATAAAATTTATACATTTATTTTTGTGTTAAGCCTATTAACTTTGACTAAAAGTTCATTACATGATTAAAAAAGTTCAAGAATTAATAAATCAGAAAAAATCAATAAGTTCAAGGACTGCACCACAAATTTAACCAAGTCAGTTTTGCCGATAAATACAATTGAGTGAAGTAAAGAAAGTGAGTTAAATTCGAAGTACAAATTTCTCCTTTGATGATTCATGCAATAATGGAGATATGGTATGTTTGGCTTTTTGTCATCTCCTTCATTGGTGTAAGTGTGGGCAAATGGATTCATAGGTGGAGGAACCCTAAATGTAAGGGCATACCCCCTCCTGGTTCCATGGGATTCCCACTTATAGGAGAGACCCTTAGCCTTTTTGTCACTTCCAAATCCATCGATATCCATCCTTTCCTTGATGAAAGACATAAAAGGTGACAAAACAACCCTTAAATTATCCTTACTCAACTATTATGAATCTAGTTATGTACCCTATTTTCATATGGTTTTAGGTACGGTCCACTGTTCAAGACGAGTTTAGCCGGCCGACCGGTGGTGGTATCATCGGATGCCGATTTCAACTACTTCGTGCTGCAACAGGAGGGGAAGCTTATAGAGCTCTATTACATGGATTCCTTCACGCAGATGGTTCACCAAGACAACATGAATAATTTAGGTGGCTCCTTTCACAGGTACCTAAGGCGCTCCGTTCTCAGACACTTCGGACTTGAGCCTCTCAAACGTAAGCTGTTGTCTGAGTTTGAGGATTTAATAAGCCATGAATTGCATGAGTGGACCAAACAACAGGAGGTTGATGTAAAACGCCGCACTGTTCCTGTAAGCAATTCTAGCATAATCAGATGTATGTATGTATTATAATGTTGATTCATGATTGGGGTATTTGCAGATGTTATTTGGTTTGGCCTCACAGATACTGATGAGTCATAGACCAGAAGAAAATCTAGGTGAAGATTTAAACAACATGTTGCAAGGAGTTATGAGGTTTCCCTTGTATTTTCCCGGGACTACTTTCTATAACTGTATACAGGTAAAAACCAACCGTTGATAAAAAGTTTTGAAAAATGATTTTTTATAGAAATTTTAAATTTCATTGCATAGATCTCTAAACTATAACATCTGTTTCAATAAATGAACTAACACAAATTGAGATGTTTTTGCCTATTTGATTCGCTCATATTCACGAATAAACTCATTTCTTCTTCTTCCTCTTACTTTTTTACATTTTAAATATTGATGAAGGTGTGAACTAAACTAAATACAGTTTGAGCTTTGAGTTCAAACTGTCAAGTTAAAAGAGTTTAAGAATTGGTGACTAATTTCACCATTTTTATTGATTTTAAACAAACATCTCCCCAAACGAATTCAATACAAACACCTTAAATAAACGAACAATAACACCATATTAGAAATCTAAACGAAATGAATCGAACATGAACAACTTCAAAAATAAATAGATGAATACGAATACTGCCTTATTCGTTCAAGCTTAGTTGATTTAGACAGCCAATTATATATCCTATTGACTGCCGAAGTAATGAAGACCGGTCTTTATATATGCAGAAGAAGAGAAAAGCATTAAAGCTGACGAGCAGGTTGGTAGAAGAGAGGATGGAGTGGTATGATCGCAGTAACTATGCTGAAGGTTACAATAAAAACGGAGACTTTCTTGACCAAATAGTGGGAGACATTGGAAAAGAAGCATTTCTGACGAAAGAATTCGTGCCCTTCCTTCTGTTTGGGTTAATCATTGCTACTGTTGAAACCATCTCCCCCGCTATCGCTTTGGCCACTCTCTATCTGCTCGACAACCCCTCCATTCTGCAGCAATTAACTGTTGGTTCATATGCTTATTGCTTACTTACTGCTTTACGTTAAATCAGTACTTTAAGTGTGTGTATTTGCTATCCCGTAGGAGGAGCACGAGGAGATTCTTAAGAAGAGAGAAGATGCCAGTTCTGGACTTGTATGGGAGGAATACAAATCCATGACTTTCACTCATTATGTGAGTTGATTATGTTCGATTAATCCGGATCGAACACCGCAGAGATCCATGTTTGTTTATGATAATTTTCTTTATATTTTTCAGGTCATTAATGAAACACTTAGGTTGGAAAATGTCCTTCCAGGGATGCTGAGAAAAGTCATAGCTGACATTCACGTTAATGGTAACTCTTAATAGCAAAAACATACATGCATGCATACATACATCCTTTTTCATAATAATATCTAAAATTGCAGGATATACAATACCTAAAGGTTGGATCCTCTTGGTTAACTCCTTAGCTCAACATCTTAACTCTGATACATATGAAGATCCTCTTACCTTCAACCCTTCAAGATGGAAGGTAATCATTCAATTAATATCTCATTATCTTATTCAAAGAGTGATTAAATTGATTGTTTGAAACGATAAAGAACATTGGAAGCAATACAAGGGCAAAGCACTTCATACCATGTGGAGGAGGGAATAGACCATGTGCTGGCACAGAGTTCAGCAAGGTTCTACTGGCTGTCTATTTACACGTCTGGGTCACCAAATTCAGGTATGTTTCGAACTAGGCTTAATCTAAGATGGTTCTACTGGCTGTCTATTTACATATCTACTTACAGGATGATAAAAATGAAGGGAGGGGAGGTGATTCGTTCACCACTTTTGGAATTCCCAGATGGTTTCTATGTTAAAGTTTCAGAAAAGAACTGTTAAATTACCTCTGCAATATGTACGTGTACTAAGATGCACTTGCCCTATGCGTATTTGTGTTCAAGACATTAATTATGATATCAATAAAATATTAGATGAATCGAACTCTAAACAAATATGTCCGGAAAAAGAATGATCAAGGTTCTGGTTGATTAGGTTCGTTCATTTCGAATTATAAAAACATTAACAACTCATTTCATTTCAACAATAAAAAGTTGAATTAGAAGATCAAAATTGTTATCAACTCTAGAGTAAAAGCCAGTATTATTTGGTAAGAATAGCATCACATTTGAACCAGGGTTGTTCATGCTGCTCTCAGCTGTTCCAACACTCATTTATTTATCAACAATGAACAAAATATTGTACATAAAACCGCATGGTGATCCGACGCGAACTCGCCTTTCAGATCATCTCATAGCATGTTGTAGGGTATCCAGAACAGGGTCAAACATCCGTACTGGCTGATCTACTGGCATACGAAAAGCACTACTTTGGCTAGCTCTAAGGCTTTAGGGCGTCCGAAAAACTTCACGATTCTGAGTGCAAACTCCATGGAAGTTCCAGGCCCCCTGCTTGTAATGATGTTTCCATCCACCAAAACTCTGTTGTCAATCAAACTCTGATCCGACAGCTTGTTGCACCTCGCAGGAAAAGCCGTGGCCTTCTTGCCCTGGGCCATATCAGAATACCACTGTTAAACATTCGGAGATGTCGATGCTCGATGCTCCTCGATGCTCGATGCTCGATGCTCGATGCTCGATGCTCGATCACCTATTTATAAGTTCTTAGGTATCAAAGTACTAGAATTGCCTAATTATAAGTGAACTACTATCAACTTTAAAAAAAAACTATTAAAATTATACCTATATTATAAATAAAATATTTAAACATATTTATATTGCTTAATAAAAATAGGGTAAACATATAAATTACTTTGCACTTCACAGTTGTTGATAAATTTAGTAATGGTTTTAATTTAAACTTCATTTATAAATTTGTTAGTTTAGCTATCTCTATCACATTTATAATAATTATTTATAAAAGGAAAATAATAAAAAAATCTAATTATCCTATATTTAAGACAAACTTTTGCACTTCACTTTTGGTGATATATGTAATATTATGGGTTTTTTTAATAATATGAATGAGTTTTATCTCTTTTAATTATTTTAGATAGATTATAAATGCTTTAACATTAAAACTTTATTTTATTTTATAATATTATTTGAGATTATTATCTGATATATTGCTAGTAGAAAAAATAATTTTACATGTTGTCTTGAAATAATTACAAGCATTGTGTTTATGAATTATTATTTGATATTCTATTTAGGAAAAATAATTCTACAAGTGGTTTTATATGATGTCAACTACTGTATTAGTGCTCAACAACCGATGCTAATTGCCCGGGACAGGGACGGAGCTCCCTTAGGCCATGTTAAATTTATATATTTAATATAATTTTAGTTTAATTGTATTGTGATTCATGCATAAATAAATATTTAAATTTAAAAATATAAAAAACTGTTAAATATTTAATCAAGTAAAGATCGAATTAAAAAATGATAAGTCTGTGTTCTCAAATTTTTGGTCTAATTACAATTTAAGTCATGTAAGATTAAATATTAGAAAAATTAAAAGTTGTCTTTTGAGTTTTTTTTTTTTTTTAATTTAGGGTGAATACAAGATAATATTTGTACAAAGACTTTCAACTATTTGACAATGAACTCTACGTGCTTAAACTCGGAACCTCAAGGATAATAACAATCCCTTAATCACTAAGGTCGATTGGTTCTTGCTGAATTTCGAGTTTAAATATCTAATAAGTATGTATATATTTTTTAAATAGTCTAATATTTTAACCCTACCAATATTTAATTCTGGCTTCGTCCCTACCAGAAAACATCTATGAATTAGTTTTCTTTTTCTCTTGATGCTCTGTATTACCCAAAAAATACAATAACATTTATTTAAAATAATGTCTAATAAGAGCCAATAATTTCAATTGAATTTTATCCTTTTTAATTTTCGTAGTTTATAAGATAATGATCTTATTTCAGAAATAAATATTTCGGATTTAGACTAAAATATATGTGGCCCTCAAAGGGCTCAATCGGTGCATACATTTCGCATAGTCTGCATCATGGGGGTGCCCCTAACGCCGTAAGTTCAGGTTCATACCAATTTACACTCCTTACACAAGGCAAAGTCTTGTCTTGTACGTTCTATTACACTCAAGTTGATTTATGTATATAAACATCTCACACATTTGGTATCACACTAACGTGCGATATATGATTTTTATTTTTCTAAACTTAATTCACAAGTAACTTATTTTTAGCATCAATTTCTCATTCATCGCTCAACTATTTTAAGTATATGATATACAATGATAATATAATGGTATCGTGGAGTAAAATATAAAATTTATCATTTGAATAGCCAACTTTACATGTTAAGAATATGTCTCAAAGTAACTTTACAAACGTGAAGCATTTTTCTCTGTTCTTATAGCACGTTTTTTCTACTCCCGTAGCACGCTTCTTTCTGCTCTTGTAGCACGATTTCTTGCAATATGTCGAATGTAGAATAAGATCTCGCTGGCCTGTCGATTAGTACAAGTGAAGAGGAAGGTTTACAGATTGAGATTGGCTTGGATGACACACACGAATCTTATGAACACTGTTTCGTCGGTTGTTTTCTTACGGCTAGTGTGATCAACTTTCAATCGACGAGTACTACCTTGGCGAATGTATGGCATCCTATTGGAGGAATATCCATCTCTGATCTTGGAGAAAGGAGATTCCTCTTTCGCTTGTATAATGCCATTGATGCTGATCGGTTAGAAAGAGGAGGCCCTTGGAATTTTAACTCTCATTTGTTAATTTTACACAGGTTTGCCACTGGTGATGATCCCTTGGCAATCCCATTGGTTTTTGTGGATTACTGGGTGCTAGTCCATGATGTCCCTATTGGTTTTATGTCCGAAGAAGTGGCAAGAGCTTTAGGTAATTTTCTGGGTGTTTTTATTGACTATGACTCAACAGCATCGTCCTTGGGTTATAGACGAATTATGAGAATAAGAGCTCGGCTGGACACTAGACTACCTCTCAGACAACGAAAAAAAGCTAATCCTTGGCAATGGTAATCAACATATTGTTCGTTTTGAATATGAAAAGCTCACTGTCTTTGTTTTCTCTGTGGAAAATTAGTCCATGGGGAGAGTTATTGCCCTCAACGACTTAGCAACAGCAACCAAAACATTAATCTCGAGTGGGATGCGTCACTACGAGCTCCTCCAAGAAGGGCGGCGCAACCGCAAAGCAGATGGTTGAGGAAGGGGCTGTTGACTTTCACTCATGGCAACCAAATCTGGTGGGGTATGGGGAAAAAGTTTCCAATGTTACATCCATCCCACCCACGATCAATGCCAATCACAAAATGGATATTAGGGAGCCTGCCTTGATTACTGCTCAATCATCCCAAAATGCAAGGAACAGGGATCTTAAAAATGGGGGTGACATCCAAGCATTTATGGGGACTTCCAGCTCCCCAACCATAGGAAATGAACAAATAAGTCAGAGGAGTAATTTTGGTGATTTCATGATTAATTACGTGGACTCTATGATGGACATTGATGATAAAGACAATTCAGTCAAAATTAATGAAGGTCCCAAACGTCCGCGATCTGTGGAAAATCCACCTGTTGTTTCTGGAAACCTGGATTCGAATGGTGGCAAAAATAATGTATCGGCAGGTCCTGCTCAGCAGGCCAGCCGGTCACAATGAAAACCTTCTGCTGGAACATCTGGGGTTTGGGGTTGTCCCGGCATGTTCACCTTCGTCAGATGTTGAGAGACATAGACCCCTCAATTCTTTTCCTAATCGAAACAAAGCTACATTCTTCGAAAATGGAAAGAATTCACAAATCTTGTGGTTTTCTAAATGGTATAGATGTTAATTCTTCTGGAAGCAGTGGGGGATTATCTATAGGCTGGAAAATGATATTCAGATTTCTCTTCGTTCCTTTTCGGAAAGATATATTGATGTTATGATTGACAAAGATGTTAATGGTTTTGCGTGGAGGCTCACAGGTTTCTATGGGGCACCGGAAATTCAGCATCGCTGGGAGTCTTGGCAGCGCCTACGTGACCTTAATGATAATTCCTCTATTCCCCGGTGTGTTATAGGGGATTTTAACGAAATTTTGGTCTCTTCAGAGAAACAAGGTGGACTCAATCGTAGCGAGTGGCAAATGTCAAATTTCAGGGAAGCCCTTTCGGACTGCAACCTCTATGATCTTGGATACAAGAGCAATTGGTTTACTTGGGAACGTGGCCGCACACAGTCAAATAATATTCGAGAACGACTTGACTGTGGTGTGGCTAATTCGGCTTGGGGAGACCTTTTTCAGACTATTAATTGAATCATCTAATCACTGCCCATTACTGCTTGATACATTTACTGGCACCTCTCGCTCAAGGAGGATGTGGCATTTCACATTCGAAGCAGCTTGGCTCCTTGAATCGTCTTGTGAAGAGGAAGTGAAGAAGTTGTGGAACGCTGCTGCTGCCAGTGTGCCAAAAAACTTACATTTCATAGGTTTAGGACTGGAAAGATGGTTTCAAAGAATAAGGAGGGAGAAGAAGATTATTGTTTCTGATATGAAGAAGAGAATTGCTAATTTAAATGAACAAGCAGTCATTGATGAAACTCTTGGAGACCTCATAGATGCAAAGATTGCTCTTAATCTTGAATTAGACAAAGAGGAGCTGTATTGGGAACAGAGGGCACGCGCGAATTGGTGAAAAAATAGGGATCGGAACACCCTTTTTTTCACTCTTTTGCTAGTCAAAGGAGGATAAACCATATCAATGGACTGCTCTCTAGTGACGGTCAATTTGAAGAGGATGATCAAAGTATTAGAAGGGTTGTGATGGATTATTTTTCTAATCTGTTCACTACTATGGGGTCTAACGATCCGACGGAAATTTTACAAGGCATTCCAAGATGCATCTCAGCCTCTCTTAATGAATCCTTATGTGGTAATTTCTCGCAGGAAGA